TGCGCGCAGGCGTGAAGACGCAGGCACCGTTTCGAGCTGATCCCTGCGACCAATGCTAACGGAGACACACACAGACACCTCACTTATATTAAGAATACAGATACAGATATTAGATAAATATGTTTAACTGAGAGAGAGGCCGTGACAAAACTCTTATAACGTAAATCTGTGTCAGTGTTCAGCGAGCCATCGATTTCCAAAAATATCGATGAGTAAAAACGGCTTAAATACAGGGTGTCCCAAAAAAATGTATACACATTTTAGGTAATTATTAAATTCGTGTCTATCATAATTTTTTTTATTTCAAGAATGTTAAAATATTTGAAAGTATCATTTTATTGTTTTTTCATTGCATTTTGACTATTGCATCAGTGGCTGAATTGAGAGAAGCCACTGAACATGAATGCCCCCGAATACCAAGGGAATTGTTTCATGGTATGTGCGATTCCATTGCTTCGCGTTGACAGCCATGTCATGATCAAAATGGACGTCAGTTTGAGAATATTCGGTGAAAAAATGATAATTGTAAATATCTTAACATTTATTCAATAATAATATTATGAGAAAAAACAACTTTACAATAAGTTAAAATGTGTATACATTTTCGGGACACCCTGTAGGTATTTAGATTTATATGGTATAATATAATGCAGTGAGATGGGATCGTGATGTTCAGGGTTTGGAACGCTCCTTGTCGTGGGAAGAATCGTATAGTGTCATGGGGGCGAGGCAAGAGGAGTCCATCGGGGACGACGGGGTCTAAAAGAAGGAGCGGACAGTAGATGTCATGAGAACGTCATCGAGATGCGATCAAGCAGACTGCGGAGTCCACCTACAAGATGGCCAAAACGTAAGAACCCGCGACGATCATCAACAGAGACCTCGAAGAATACCGTTAGGGTGGCAAAACCGAGAATAGTTGGTGTCATTTGGAAATAATGCTTTACTCTGCAAAGAAAAATCTAAATATATTGAGAAACCACTTTACTGTCTTGGGAAGAGTCTCAAA